AGCACAGTTCTATTAATTTTGGCACCGGATCTACTATCCTAGTTACTCCATTTTGGAAATACAGTGATCCCGATAACAGATTCGTAATTAATGATCGAAAAACCCCAGTATGTATATTTTCAGGTCAGTTTTAAAGTGACGTCAGACTTTTTGTGGAGTGGCTGTATTGTACATTGATAGAAACAGTGTTGAAATAAGATGATCCATTTTATCAAAATCAAAATAAAAAAAAAACATTTTTCAAAAAACATTATTGAGTCATTATACAGAAAGTAAAAATAAATATTGCGTTAGGGCTGGTCCGTCCCTGGCGTTGTAAATGAGTGACTTCTATTATATGGACACCTCCAAGAAAACCTCCGACTGGTTATTAAGCTGCCGAAACTTCGTTGAATCATACAATGATGGAAAACTATTTTTCTATCAAAGGTTTCAAACTTATTTACTTTTCAGTTTTGTCGGTATAAGCATTGATCTACTTATTCTACCTATTATACAGTAACCGAGCGTCCAAAGAATTATCCGAGATAAAATGAGATGCCGTAGCATCATTTATGAGAATTTAACATAGCTACGAGGGTTACTAGAAAAGAAGTCTACCTAGTTATGAAATAAAAGACGTATGATTTTTTGATAAGATAACGCACCGTGTCATGGCGAAAATCAAGAGGCAATCACCCTAACAGTTGTTCTGCAGAAAAAAACGCCGAGTACTATTTGGACGGGTTACAGAGAAGGGACGTAGAGTTGAAAAATAAAAAAAAATCAGAAAAAATGTTTTGTACCTTTGTTAAGTCGAGAACTTTACAGGCCACCCTCGTATGCTGATATATGGTTGACTATAGAACTATGTATGATGGATGAATAAATTTTCATAAATATTTCATACTGGATAATTTTGCGGACGTGCTAATATAGCATTAGGTTGGCCATATTGAGGTGGAATACGTTAATCAATGGTATGTCACCCACTAGCTGGTATACGATAAAACTAGCAATAAATATTTTACTAACAACGATTTTCTCTAAAAGAAAACATAAAAATGTTTATTGTAGCTTTGCCTGTTGCGCAAGCATTTTTAGGAAGATAAAAATTACGATTATTTTGGGTGCTTTGTCAAAAATGATTTCCTATCAATTAATTATTGTATAGCCACGGTAATTTTTATCTTGCCTAAAATTAGACGTTTAGTAAACACAAAAACTTCGTTCAAACGCTTAGGCCAATATTGAAACATGGAAAATATGGCACTTATCAAGTTGGACAAATTAAAATTTCAAGATGATAGGCTAGAGACATAAACGTAAAAAGACTAGATACAACATTAAGAATACTCCTTTATATTACTTTCTGCATTGTTGACATATGAACTGCAACTTCATTTTTTAGCAACGCAGGTGCCGAAAAGTGTAAACATGCAACATATATCCATTACTTGGTCAATTTCCAACCTCCAAATGTAAATACAAAGTTTTTTGTAATCTGGAAAAAGGATTCGGAAAGGCGACTTATTCCTAAATTAGTTTTATATCAACATATATGTCGGCAACTGTTTCCCTTTCAGAATATCTTTCGATTTTTTTAAATGTGTCTAAAGACATTAGTCCAGATTCTTTTTTGAAAATTGGCCACTGGTAGGTATTCAACAGTACCAGGTGCCAGTTCAGAAGAGTTTTTGTCGAAAGAACTTTGATTACACGCCTCTGGTTTCCTTTAGATTCCATGTTCTTTTTTTAATATATATATATGACTTCGAAGTTGAGCCATTTATTTTAACAGTGAGTAGATCTGATCAAAAGAAGTATTTTTTTCCTTTAACATTTTTCTGGTAAAATTAAAGTAACAAAGTTATAGCCCTTTAGAAGTTTGAGTACCGCCCTGTCTCAATAATAATATTATGTGCTCGTGTTTGGCAACAACGGATATAATCCGCCTTATCCGTTCATCGCATCGGAAACAAAAAAGCGAAAGAATTTGAAACGATGTTTTTACTACAATGTACAATTTTATTCAGTTGTATTCAGTCGATGTGTCAGTCGGTAACGCGTGAGTGAATAGTGGTGTTTGTTGCGTGGTTCATACGAAATAAAAATGGCACATGTTTACGAAAATGCTGAATGTAGTACAAAGGGCTCGTGAATCAGGTGACTTAAGACCTCACAGGGGAGGGCATGCCGGTGCTCCAAGACCGCACGATCAAATACAGGTCCGCACTGAAATACTTGTCGGGAGGATACTTTATAAAACAAGGTAACATTTTTTTTATTTTTTTTTTATTTTTACACACATATTTTGGTTTATCTTCCTTCTACAATCATTATTTGGAAATTAATGACTCAACTTCAAAGTCACCCTGTATATATATATATATATATATATATAAATTTAAGATGTTAATTAGAAAAAGAATTTTATCAAAAATGAATCAGTCCCATAGTTTCTGGAATATTTATTTGGAAAATGCTTTCAACAAAACATTCTGCACTTCTTGTATTTTGGAAAGGAGACATATCTTCGTGTGAACTATTTCTATGTAATTGCTTAACGGACCTCAATTTTCAATTTGGTTGGTGACAAAAAAACACCCAGAATTTTATTATCCTTAAACCTATTCCTAGGTGATATACTAGACATCCATATTTGAGATACTCAACTCTTTCCAAAGTCTTCTTCGAACACAATTTGGCCCAAAATTGAGCATTATAAAAATTATGAAGTTACAGTTCTTTGCAACCTGTCTGGTCAAAAAATGCAAGCCCTCCGCTACTTCGTAACACATGAACGTTTCCTATTTTTCCCTTGCTACTTCAGATGGGAATTATATACGATGATTGATCCGTATATTCCGCCCCTGATACACTTGCAATAAGACTACATTTAGTATACAATGCTGACCACAGTCGTTTCCCCTTTAGATTCCAATGTGTATGACGAAGAGAAGTGTGCAACACCACAGAATACGTTTGCTAGAAAGAGAGCGTCGTCATCACGATCCGCGCCTTCGGCCTCTGCGCGTGTCCTAGTAACGACAGTGGGGGAGGAGTTATAGCCGCGCTCCGCCTCCTCCCCCCTGGTGTTGTCTGACCACGTTAGTGGAGGAGGATTCACTGTCCTTACCAGGAGTTAAGGCGGGTTTACACGCTACGTCTTATTGTACGTTTTGTGGGACAAGACAAATCCTATCAAATAAAACGTGGCGTGTAAACAGCAAAACGTACGTCTTGTCGAATCGAAATGAAATCCATGGTCAGATTGAAAAACTGATGGGAGAAGCATCATTTTGCAAGAGCTGATAGTACAAAACGAAACGTGTGTAGACTCATGTTCAGACAAGACGACCATAATAAAAAAACGGTCGCGTATGAGGAACTTATAAAAGAAAACAAAGCAATAGACCCGATGGCAAATAAAGAGACTGTTACAAAAAAATGAACTCGTTGAGATCTGGCTTCTTTTCAGAAGCCTCTCCCTTGACCATCTTGTCTTTTCCCTCTTCATCCCTTTTCCTCTCAGTCGTTGTAGTCTTATAGTTGAAAAAAATAAACGAAAGCAGCCGCGTTTCCTCGATAATAAAAAAATGTCTCTCAAGAAAATTCATTAAACAAACTTCATACAACTCAAGAGTCTAGATTGGAACTGCAGTAGAAAGCGAAAGGGAAAACACGTAGTGTATATATACTGGACAAAACGTACGTTTTGTCGTACGTTTTGCATGCCCGACAAAACGTACAATAAGACGCAGCGTGTGAATAAGCCTTTACAGTCGCGATCAGCGTCTTCCCCCACTACCACTGCCAGACAACGACTGCAGGGGAGGAGTCACAGCCGCGCTCTTCGTCTTCCTCCACTTCTATTGTCTGACAACGATTGTGGAGGAGGAGTTACAATCGCGCTCTGCGCCCTCCCATTCAGTCGTGGCCGGGTGATGACGACGCTTATATGGCGCACTCTTTCTAACACCCTTTTCTCTCTTTCTCTCACTCTCAGTGGAAATCTGAAAAGGAAAGCGACTTTTTCCAGCACTGTATTTTGTTTTTCTACGTAATCACTATTTAAATCTTGTTCAACAGTAGCCAAAACATGTTGATGAATGTTAGTGAGCGTGATACATGTTTGCATGTATTTGATTGCTTAGAAAAATCATTTCATCAAAATTCATATAACGTCAAAATACTTTGAGATCTAAACTTGATAATATTACTAACGTAGCCCTAATCACTTATTTTGCTGTCTGTAAAGGGGGTCTGGGGCGCAGCATAGGGATCGGCCCACCGCGGTATACCAAAAATTTTGACGACTACTTATTTACGTCCAGTTTGGTATACTATGTACATGATAACTATACTGCTACGGTTTAACATTTGCAGCTAAACATCTAGCGCTACATATCACAAGTATAACACGATTACGTAAAACTTTGCAATATAATTAATCGTTCTAAACAGTAAAACTGATAACATTTACAAAGAAGATTAAAGTACCCTGTTTTTTAACATTGTATACTCTGATACTCACTTCTAAGGAAGAAACTGTACTCACGAAAATACGTGCGATGGTTTCAAAGCTACTGTCATCGTTTCCAGGCCACCGATTTTAGTCCTGTCCAACGAATTACCTATTTTAATGCGAAAGCTACTATACTATATATAATATATATTATACAGAAACATTGCCCATGTTTAAATAAAATATTTCTGAAATAATTCAATTAAACATTTCCTCAATTTTCGATTTGGTGGAACGGTATGCTCTTATTTTTTTTAAGTAACTGCATTTTCGCTCTTCAATTTACAAAACCGACTGAAGCTCAAGCAAGGTTCAATATAATACAAGGAAATATAAACATTACACCCCAGAAATAAAAAATCCAAAAATTAATTTAAAATAAGTTTTGGAATATTGTAAAATTTCCGGATTGAAAAGATAAAATAATACAAACAGCCATTGTTGTCTATAGTGAAGAAAAGCTAATAAATACTAAAAAGATATTTAATACTCTTCACGTTTGGCATAGAGATGTTCTATTCGATCCGATATTTGGGAGTATCGATACTTTTGCTCGCGATACCCGATATTTTGGATCGATATTTTTTTATACGATACTTGGGTGTATCGATACATCTTTCGATCCGGATTGTGTCAGAAAGAGTGACGAATTTCAGATTACTTTTCTTCTTTGTTTCCTTTCTCGACCTCACATAATTTATTTTGGATTCCAGGGTTGCCACATTAGGGGGTTTTCCCCAAAAATCAGAGAACTTTTATTTCAGTGGAGAAGATTTTGGGGATATTTTTCTGGGGATTTTTGGGCAAACATATTTTACTGGAGAGGTGATTATTATATAAAATTTTATCAATGACATTACATAATGTACTTGTTATGTATATATTTGTCTTTTAACTCGAAACAAATCCTTCTACCTTTTGGGGTATTTCGCGAGATATCAAAAATATGTCGCTCAAAAAAATATTTTGAGATCGAAGAATACCTGACAAATTGTAAACCTATGGTAACAAAAAATAAATGGTATTTTTTGGAGAAGTTGCCTCCTGTAAGAAGTGATTTGGGGACCTATTGTAAAATCGAATTAGGTCGGAGATGTAAGTTATGCAATTGTGAGGTTCTTACACGTTCTTATTACTGAACATATTAGTCATGCAGTTGAAAAGAGTAAACATTATTTTGAGAGTTGTAGAAAAAACAATTTCGATTTTCGGTAGTGTGTGTTCCGTATCGAAAGGTTCGATACTTGTGGTATTTTTATTCCGATATTTTAGAGTATCGATACTTCCTAAAACGATACGAATCGATAGATGGTATCGATACTTTTTGTGGATCGGAACATCTTTAGTTTGGCATTTTCAGGGCACTTTTAACAATCAGAATTAATGACATTTGACAATTTACACCTAAGTCAGACGTCAAAAATGAAACATGTCAAGTCAAAAGTCAGGATGTCAATCCGATCAGTGAAACGTTGACATTGACAACTGACTAGTAGCCATATCGATGGGGTGGTTTTCAAATATTTGACGAGAATTCGGGGACTTGATGGATCGAAAACCTTTTATGTTTTTTATCGTAACTAGGCTGTTTGGTATTTCCAGTAGCTTTGACAACGTCGCTTCTAGAAACGCTTGCATTTTTCGATCAGTTCTGTTAGCACTCAGAGATTAAGAATTTTGCGCATTTTCCTCAACATATGACTATGTACAGCGATGCCGGGACAACTAAGCTAAATTTTAAAATTGGAAAAGTCAGGAGTACAATATCAGTCTCACAGTTTGAAATCTTTAGTTTTAAGTACAAACATCCGATTACATTTAGATTTCATTATCATGACAGAAATGAATGTTACTTAAATCATTGTTAGCTAACAAATCGAGCGGCTTAGCGTTCACTAATATCTGTTTGATGCATCCATCGAAGCCTTTGTAGTACGCACTTGGCAGACCAGGAGGCAGCACCGACGTACCACCTGAAAAAATAAGCATATCAGTTAGACAGTTTTTAGTGCCAGCGTACCATTGGCCGCAGCATATGATTATTTTTTGAAACTAAACAAACTTTGGGCTTGATAATTAGTGTTGTATTTTATCATTCTGAAGCTTGTTCACATCAAAACTGCTGAAAGAGATATTAATTATCCTTACTGGGAATATTTTATGAATATATATATATTTATGAATAATCCTCCAGTATCGGAAATATCATTTTCGGCAGATTACAGATTATGTATAAACGAAATCCCCGGCACATTCATACCACTGGGCTATCATGAATCTATGGAGGTGGAAGCCTTGCGTTGCTGTGTACCGAAATGCGGTGTTGTCAAATCAATGACTGAATATTGCAGAATTTGTGGCGATGCTGAAGCTTTAGTTCCACATGAAAACTTAAATTCTAAAACGATTCGAAAATGTGTACGCTTAAAGTTAAAATCATTATTTGATTCCCCTCCGACATTGAAAGCAGCACCCAAAAGCGTAAACGGATTTCACTGTATATTGACGTGGATGCATTTGTAGAAATGGTGAATGGGTCTTGTAAATTTGGTGAATGCTTTTGCAAACACCGTGTATTCAAACATTAATAGCTTAGATCAATATACAGGGTTGAGTCATTTATTTTAACAGTGAGTAGATCTGATCAAAAGAAATGTTTTTTCCTTTAACATTTTTCTGGTAAAATTAAAGTAACAAAGTTATAGCCCTTTAGAAGTTTGAGTACCGCCCTGTCTCAATAATAATATTATGTGCTCGTGTTTGGCAACAACGGATATAATCCGCCCTATCGGTTCATCGCATTGGAAACAAAAAAGCGAAATAATTTGAAACGCTTATCACGATGTTTTTACTACAATTTTATTCAGTTGTATTCAGTCAATGTGTCAGTCGGTAACGCGTGAGTGAATAGTGGTGTTTGTTGCGTGACTCAAACGAAATAAAAAATGGCACATGTTTACGAAAATGCTGAACTTGAGGACATGATTCTTATTTACGGGGGGGGAGTCTTTACAAAATGCTGCCGCGGCATCACGGATTTATGCGGATCGGTTTCCCAATCGAGTGCAACCAACCCCTCGTGCCTTTGTTAATGTAGTACAAAGGGCTCGTGAATCAGGTGACTTAAGACCTCACAGGGGAGGGCATGCCGGTGCTCCAAGACCGCACGATCAAATACAGGTCCGCAGTGAAATACTTGTCGGGAGGATTTTTTATAAAACAAGGTAACATTTTTTTTTATTTTTACACACATATTTTGGTTTATCTTCCTTCTACAATCATTATCTGAAAATTAATGACTCAACTTCAAAGTCGGTAGATGGACCGAAAACCATGATTAATCATCTACAAGGAGTTCTATCTATATTTGTATACAGGGTGTTCGAAAAATAGGCGGAGATATTTTGGGGGGTGATTCCTTGTTAAAAAATATGAAAAAAAGTTTCTATAAACATGGGTCCGAAAATGCAGCGTTGCAGAATTAAAAAAAAATATTAATTTGTTGTAGTGTACTTTATGTCATGGTACCTATTGAAAAAGTTGCAATAACAATTTTCTTGATTTTCGTGTTTTCAAAGGCATTTGTCATTTTTTTTAGCAAAAATTAATAAAACAATTTTGTCCAGTGATATGCAATAAAACTGTTTTTATTTTTTTTCTTGAAAACGAAGTGAGATATGAAAAAAATACAAAAGGCAAATAAGTTGCACGTTTAGATGCTTTTTGAAACAAAAAATATTAAAGTTGCAAAAAGGGCAGTGACGTACATTTTTTTGACAATAATATTCGCTACCGTGCCCCCCGGGACGGCACTCGACCTAATAATTTTAGTCTATTCAGGGCTAAAGGAGCCTCTTAACACAACAAATAATACTGCCAAAGGTCAACAGAATTGAGTACATATTTTTCAAGAAATTAATAAAAAAAGAAATTTTCATTTTAAATTTATCACCTTGTACCTTGGAAACTCTGCATTCCCGGATCCATGTCTACACAACCTTTTTTCATATTTTTTTAACAACGAATCACCCTCTGAAATGTCACCCTGTACATGTTCATGTTGCTTTCCTCTAGACGTGTATTTCGGATCATGTTACTCACCAATCCAAAGTTTTGAATTTGTCCTAAGCGATATAGCACCAGTTCTAGCGATTCCCTTTATAGAGGGATGTCCATCGACTGAAATGAATCCAACCCTCTTCCTTCTCCTTACTTGAATTGTATGCCACTCTCCATCGTCTACCCTAATTTTTGATCTAAAAAATAATCATCATTAGAAACCCCAAAATACATATCGACAAAAAAAATTCCGATTTCTGACAGTGGACACATACCTGATTGCCCAGAAGGTATTCCTCAATCCTAGGTTGAAGCTGAACTCAGGGTAACCGTCAACAATTGCCACGGAGAGATAATCCTCAGCGATGTTTCTGTTTTTACTTCTCCATAGCAACAGACCGTCAGTTATAAATGTTCGGATCCTAAGCTCATATCTGTTGCCTCTCTCTGGTTTCCTTCTGAAATTAGTTAAAAACTATTATTTATAGACAAGATATGAGATGGAAAAAATGGTGTCACGTAGGTTGACTCTGCACTTCCTACGCAACACCGTCAACAAAACAAAATAGTTACGAACTCGTACACTAGAAAAAATAAAGGATCATTATTCGGCTCTGAAAATAAGGTTTTTTAGTTGATCTAATATATATGAAATTTTTGCATTTAAATATTCCAGAACATTTGTAATTGTAACTTTCATTTTTATAAGAAAAAACACCGAGACACAATATATATAACGAATGTGATGCGGCATAGCGCTCACAATAATTTAGTTCGTATATTGGATAGAATTCATTTTGGATGGATAATTTGATCAAAATTAGTTGTATTATTCGATTCCACATAAAACAATATTGATGAAAAGTTAATCAAATGAATCTGGAATATAAATAAAATAATACTAGACTTTGTTTATTTAGACTTATTTGAATATGTTGTAGAATGCACATATAACGACTACAAGCTGTATCATGCGGTTAGATATTGTTACTAACACAAAAACACAAGGCAAAAACCTTACATTAGTGGGAGAAATTTTACGACTCAACTTTTATCATAATCACGTTTGTTGTTTATATGCATCAAGAGGTTACTTGGTGCAGATGTGATTATTTTTTTTTGAACAAACTGCAAACAATGTTTTCTTCGCTCAAAACAAAGTTTTCTCTCATGTTTTTCTTCGAACAACAAGGTTCTTAGGAACGCTTCTCTCAAGATGGTGTTATAAATGATTTAGAGTCAGAAAAAAAAATCATTTTCAATTCTTAAAAATACGTTGAAAAAATGATTGTTGGTGTATTATAATAGTACTCCATAGACGCATTAGTCGCAATTAAATAAATAAATAAAATTTGCATTTCTCACACAAATACAAAGTTTTAGCCTTGTAAAAAAGCACAATTGGAGACAGACACTGCCATTCACTCATACTTTTGCTTAGAGATAAGCCATTTTCTTATTTTTGGTGGGTTAAGAAATGCAGGTCAAAAAATTTTAAAAGTGAATACTCTTGTCTAGACGATAAAAAATGGTATCAGCATGCCAGGATAGGACGGATTTCTGGTATATTTAAGTGTATAGTAAGTTCAGCATTATATATCAAAATAACAGAGCGCACAGCGCCATCTATTACCAGAATCGACCACTGCCAGAGTGTATATCAGCTATCGGTTGAAACTGTAAGGATCTCAGTCCCCTTTTGATAGCCCAGTCACCACTGTGACCGCTGGATGCTGACGATTCTGGCGTTAAGCTGTCGTCCGTTGACCCAAAGATCAAGTGATGAGTTGCCAAACAGCACGACACAGCTATCCATGGTTGGCTGTCTCTAGTGGACGAAAATAGCTGGCTTAGTTCCAATTGACAATTTGTCTTCAAATTGTTGCATCTGCTTGCTGTCTGGGGAGGCTTCAAATCGTCTATCGGACAAGCGTCATCGATAAGTCCAACAACCCTCGTCTGAACAGATTCGAGCATGAACAGCGTGGTTTCAGATTAATCAAACTTCTGGAAATTGGTGAAAATAATGCTGAAAGATTCCGTTACAGACATACATACAGGCCAAGCTGATAAAAGCGGGTTAAAAACACTTTTGCATCAGAATCGACGAAATAGCCTCCAGGATGAGGAGGTATAAGAGTACTTTAACAAGTGGACAACCAAGTTCCGAACTGTTCGCATTTCATTCTCTCTTTCAGGGTGTATAAGTAGTTAAACTAATTACTTGTGTAGCAGTGTCTATTCCTTTGTGTTTTGTGGTTATTCAAATGTTAGTACTTACGAAAAATCAAAATCGTCAATTTCAAAATCTACATCCTCGTAATATTCGATGCTATTATCGCCGTCATCCGAGGTCCTGTTGTAATGTTCCTCAGGATCTTCGAATTCAAACGAACTGTTTTCGCTGTTAGTAATGTTAGTAATGTTAGTGGCGTTATTTGTTATGGACGTATTTAGAATCCACAATAAGTAACTGAATACAGTACGATTATATGATATTGCATATGTCTCGACCATGCTATATAAAGTGAGACAAGACACATATCACACGTACATAGTTGCCATTTTCATTTTTTTGTACTCTTTCATTAGTAGTAGTAATTGAAATATAGAAAAAACGAAACATCCTTAGAGAATGTCTAGAACTCCCTGTGTCTCGGTCCAAATCGAACCATATATGTTGAAACTACTCTTTTCTGACGTTTCTGCTACACACAGGGGCGTTTTAAAGCACAAATTATTAATGACGACAATTCCTTCTAATATTATAAATGAGAAATTGTGGGTGTCACACCAAAATCGATGAACTGATCTGGATGAACATAGATAGGGCTTAGTGCAATTTGAAGCAAGGGTATACGAGGGTGGTTTGAAAAGTTTCCGACCCAACAAAGATACAAGACGATTTTTTTGTCCAGCTGCCCAAAATTTCACAGTGTTGAATGATGGTGCAGAGTCCCCATATACAGAAGCCAACTCATCTTTGATTTGCGTAGCTGTATTGCCTTTCAAAAACAAATATTTAATGACAGCCCGATTTTGTCAAACGACTGTTAGATAACAACTGCGCGTCCCAAATGGCTGAAACTTTGGTGAACAACTGCTTTTCTCCACGAGTGCTGCCATCTTATCGTTGAGGTCGGAAACTATTCAGACCACCTTTTTAATATACCCTTAATGATTTCCGATGCCCCATTTCCATTATGACTATGGCATTCGTGTTTCAAGCTTGATTGTCTTCATATAGAATTTTTTGATGTTTTGTTTCAAGTAGAATACTGTGAACGAATAATTATTGGGTTCGATGTCATTAAAAGTTGCGATTGATGAATAAAAAATTGGCGTTGATTTATTGGTTTACTTTAAGAACACTCCGTAAATAAATTATGATTAAGTTAGTTGTGCGTGCTATTGCGATTAAATTGTAGTTGGATTAATCACAGTCATCTGCTTTGATTTGTTATAATTTGTGTGATGATATAACAAATAACATTGGCAAAATGACACAAACTGAATGGCAAATAAATGGACAACTATACGTATAAAATTGATACACTTAGGATGGATTTCACAAACATTAATGTTAAATTTAACAGGCAGAAGTGGTTAAGTTATTCGGGATTATGAACCAAAACGATAAAATTGTTGTTTCCACTTGCATATTAGATATTTTTATAATTCTAAGTAATATTAGTCATGTTGATATGTTTTTTAAGATAATCAATTAATTCTGAGACAATTTGATGCTAACCTGCCATCTCAAAATTTGACAGATATTATTTTTTATGCTTCAATTGCCGTTGGTTACTACAATTTGTAAATGTGATTGGTTTAAAATAACAGCTAGTCTTTTTGTGAAATCCATCCTAAACATACCTATTGAGATAAATTTCAGATACTATTTATTATGATTACACACTTGGAATTAATTTATTGTTGCTTAAAAATATTGAATAAACAATGCAGTTTAACTATAGATTTTACCTTCGATAGCCCCTGTTTCTGTACTGAAGGAACGTCATACCACTGAACTTCAGTGCTAGATTGTCTTCATCAACTGAAATATGAAAAAAAATTTGGTACACAGCTACAGTTCACTTATAAGTAATATACAGGGTGACGAGAAAATAGATGCGGAGCCGGTCGGGGAAGATAGTACAAGCCAATCTGAGTCGATTTTACTATAGTAACTACTGTCCGAAAATTAGCCGTTTTCGAATTATACTAATTTTTAAGATTTTATATAATTTTACGTTAACTTGAAAATTGGGTGTTTCATTTGATTTTTTTTTTGGTTTTACAATAAAAATATTCTAAAATACGAAAATTGATACTGAAATGTACATTATTGACGTTATCTCATGCAGTAACCTTCGAAATAGTTCGATTTTTGTTAAAAAAATCTTCGTTCGTCTCAAAAACTCAATTTACTAGAAAGAATGACCTACAAATTTTTCGTGCAAAACAATTTTGAAATATCTACGTTTCATTACCTTTCAAATGAGGTACCAAAGTCACAAACCGGTTTAGAAATGACAAAGATATGAGTGAAAGACTTTGCCACCGGAATAGTGTGATAAGTAAGACTAGTCACCCCCCTCCCTCCCACTCTTCAATCTTTTTTCGCGATTTGTTGCGTTCGGATGTGTTTGCACGCTGTTTTAATATTTCTAACGAGTTGACTCTTGTTGGACTTCCGTGTGTGATTTCTTTCCTGAAGACCTAGACTGTATCCTGTTTTCTATGATTCCTTACGACTTGGATGCTGTGTGACTGTGGGCTGAACTGACGCTACTGTAACATAGCTGTTTTGATACAGTTGATTGAACTTCTTAATTAAGAGCTCTGACGATGGAAACATCCACACGTTGTGTATCGTTTTTTCTAAACAATATGTGATGATCTCCCTATTACTACAAATTTCAATTTTTTCTTCGATGGAGTGACGGACGGTCTCATTCTACATAGTGACAGCCAGAAGACACCAGTGACATCAAAAAATTGTGTTACACCCTCTCACCCCTCCACAACCCCCTTCCTCCCAATCTTTTAGCTCTAAATTTTTTTTAAAAACTAAGTTGCGGACAGACCGACTAAAATGAGTGACATGGTTTTTCGTGATAGCATCCAAAAAACATACTGTTTTCAAAAAATTTTGCGATAACAATACTTCCTCGCCAGCAGGCGTGGGAATTGAAAACAAGGTGTTGTAAATTACAACATCGCTGATGTACAGATGCTATATTCATATCACCTTCAACTTTACTGGCTTCAGCGATATAGTAAAAAGGGTTTTACTTTTACGATGGTTATTCCAACTATCTAAATATGTACGATACAATAATACAATTCGAGTAGCACTTACCCATCTCGCAGTATTTTCCTTTGAAATTCGAAGGGCATTTGCAAGTGAAATCCTCGAGATCGGGGATGCACACCCCGTTGTTTTGACAGGGATTCTTAGACATGGAGCAGGGTAAACCATCGTAATATCCGATATTGGCCCCACAGCCCGTGCTGTTGAACGATGTCCGCAGGTTACAGTCCGGCAGAGAGGTCGATATCGGGAGCAAATGTCCATTCAGTATCACCCTCTGGATGGCACCCTTGAAGCCTTTCGTCGCACCTGACAGACGATGGATTTGCTTCCAGTTTCTGCAATTAATTATGATGGGGTTTGGTCGGATGTATACTGGTTGACAGTGGAAACAAACAGTAGTTATACCAAGAGAAGACAGACAAGTCGAATAGACTGCCATCTAAATATACTAAGTGACATATAAATCCGAACACCCAGTTTAAATGGTTTTATTTTAATAAAAGTTGGTGAATGTATTTATCTTACTGTAAATAACAAGTGAAAAAATTTTCAGCCTTATCAGTTGGACATTCCGGTTTTTATACTGCTTTTTTTTAATTCACTAACGCTCTAAAAATGAATATTTCAGCCGCAGTAAAGAATCAACGTTGGCGGATTTTGGTTCTTGACATCCTTTACGATCGGTTACGCTGCCTAGAGTACGGAGGCCTGTACGATTTCGTCAACTTAGTGAGTTTGATAGGGGCCGTATAGTGGGACTTCGGGAAGCTGGACTTTCTTTTCGGGCAATTGCAGTTAGAGTGCAAAGAAGTGTAGACACTGTGGTTAGGTGTTGTCAGGCATGACCTATTGGCATGAGAAGTGTTTACCGACGAATGAGAAGTTTTGGCTTGTTTTCATACCGGCCACACTGGGTCCTCCCTTTAACTCGAGAACACCGACGTAATCGCCTTGAGTGGTGCAGACAACGGTCACTCTGGGATCAGGAATGGAACAGTATTGTTTTTAGTGATGAGTCTCGATTTTGTTTAGGCATGCACGATGGTCGTGCCAGGGTTAGAAGGCGACGTGGTGAAAGGAGGAATCCATAGTTTTTTGTTGAAAGACATGTTCATCACACTGTTGGAGTTATGGTTTGTGGTGCTATAGCTTATGGTTCCAGGTCAAATTTAATGTTCATAAGAGGTAACATGAACGCGCAGCGTTATATCCACGAAGTTCTAGAACCCCATCTTTTACCCTATCTTGACACCCTGGTAGATCCAACTTTCCAACAAGATAATGCCCGACCACATGTTGCAAGAGTCACAATAGACTTCTTTCAACATAATGATGTCACATTGTTACCATGGCCACCAAGATCTCCCGACTTATCCCCAATTGAGCACGTGTGGGATATGATGGGTAGGAGATTGCTCATTTTGCAACGTCCTCCTCAGACTCTAGAAGCACTTCGAGAGGAGTTGGTGGTTGCCTGGAATGAGATACCACAGGAGGACATTGACCACCTGATCAGAAGCATGCCTAGGCGCGTTGGAGAATGCGTAGCACATCAGGGTGCTTCCACACATTATTAAAGGTCAAAGGGCTTTAAAGCAGTGCAATCATTTTGAAATTTTTATCATTTACTTATTATGCTTCATTAAGTACTTATACAAAATTTTATTAAAATAAAACCATTTAAACTGGGTGTTCGGATTTATATGTCACTTAGTATACATATGCGAATAAATGAACACTGCAATTTTAACAGCGGCATGTAGATAGCGAGAGAAGCTCTTTGCTAAGCCTGTAAGTTATCTCATAGCTATTTAACTTTTAGGGCTCTACGCGGTTTGAATGAAAGAAATACGACAGCTTGTAATTCAAATCTTTTCTAACCTCAAAATGCTTATTTGACCAACCGTTGGTCTATTTGACTGGTCGCGAGTTATTTAGATAGCCTGGCCTTGCTTATTTTATATGACTTACTGTCGTAGGCACGAAAAACCGTGGAAGTATAAATGTAGCATTTTTTAAATATTTTATGGCAGTTTGGCAACAACGTCTCGGTAGCCAGAGATGATGTGACGAAAAATTTTTCGGTCTGTAAAGCAGACGTGTTTTCTCTTGATATAACTACTCTTTGGTGGACGTATATCTGACGGTCCTGTAGAGTTGAACCGTGGTGAAATCCCAGGTAGCACAAGAACGTGAAAATGACGTTACCAACTGATCAGGTGACGAGTGACGAGAAATCATGAATTGAATGACGTGAACTAATCAAAATGACCTCCTAATGTCACATACCGATGACGTCATATGGCAGACGTCAATAATACGTCACTTGCTGACTTGATCTCTTTTGAATAGGAAATATTGTTTCTCGATTAAAAAAATAGCTTACATATAAAAATGTATATATTTTAGGTCTGTGCCTTTGCTTGACCCTTATGAGACTACTACCCTTGTTTACCAGCCCCTGTCAGGTGCTCCGTCCTTCTCTAGCGGTCGCGAATCAATCTCCCCTCTCTGTCCCGCTCAGAGCCTGGTCGAGACCGCCCGTCAGCGCCGGCAAGCCCGCTTGCGCTTCAGTACGCTGTTGTTTACCATCGCGTCAGGTGCGTTCGGTAAAGTTTGTATACGTATTCGTACAAAACTGGATATACAGTGCATGTTAATTGTGCAATGGATAGTGATAGCGAGGTATGTAGATTTTTCAAAGAGTGATTTTCTCTAATTTTAGTATGGTGACATTCCCTTTATTGCATGCAAGTGATTCGAGCACCCTGCGTCTCAATCACGTATTTACTGGTATATAACTTATCTGATCGAGCACTCTTACGTCTCATCAGTCTTTACCAGTCATGCTCTAAGTATTTCTTGGCGTACGGCCCAGAATTTGAACGTTCACGGCTCAGTGAATGGACCTCCAAGGCTCAGAAGTTGAACCTTCGCGGTTCGGAACTTGAGCCTTACGGATAGGTAATTGAGCCTTACGGCTCGCACCCGAGCCTTACAGCTCGCCCTTTGAGCCTGACGGCTCGCCATTTGAGCCTTACGGCTCGCCCTTTGAGCCTTACGGCTCGCCATTTGAGCCTTACGGTTCACACTTGAGCCTTACGGTTCACATTTGAGCCTTACGGCACACCAAGCGAGGCTTGATAAATCAGCCACTAGCTATTTATCTCTGCTTTTGTATATCTGTATTAAGATGTTCACTGGGCCTTTTCATTGCAGATGGCTGCCTCATATTCTTTTGCTTCATTGGGGGAGCTGTATGATGAACCGTCCGAAGACGAAGTCCTAGCAAGACTAAAGATTGCTGCAGCTGGTTTCCTGCCGGAGGGCTGGAAGGATTGGAGAGTCCGGAAGGATCATGTAGTTCATATGGAGCCTTCGGTTCTTAACAAAATGCGTTTCTGCTTATCTGCGCTGGAAATTGCAAAAGCCTTCAACCCAGATGCAAAATGCCTCAAGGAGAGACCTTACAGGGACATGAAAGTGAAAATGATGTCATGGCCGTTCTGTGTCGGCCTCATCTTAGGACCTCCATCTCTGGCTCTGCAAGTGAGAGGTTCTGCTTTGCACTGTGAGCTGGTTACTCAGTCGGTGAAGAACTTGAGGGGGCTGTTGATGACTAGGAAAGAGGCGTCGAAACTTCTTGGAGATGGCTCTGAGACGGATGAGTCTGAAAGCTGTTCCCAGTCGACCTCGAAGCAACGCGTTAGTACTACCAGCAGGTTACAGTGCCTTGAAGCAGAGTCTGCCGCGACTAGATCATTGCTGCAAGAAATCTTGAGCCGCCTGGATCGAAAAGGGAGCGACACTGGGGACTCTGACTTGGAGGAAGACCAGGCAGAAGAATTCATGTAGGAAGTGGAGAGTGAGAGAGAATCGGATGCGGGGTCAACTCCGTGGAGGGCCCCAGAGGTGGTTTCTACAGTTAGCAAACGGACGGTAGTAGACTTTACGCCTCAGACAAAGGAGCAGGAGCCGACTGTCCCTCAACCCGCTCCAGACATACGGATTCAAGGCCTGAGTTGCCAGCGATTGGGAGAGTCGTCATGGAATCGCATTAGGTATGCGGATGTGCAAAAGCGCTTACATGCATCTCCTGTATTTGGTGCGCTGTGCTTGAACACGCAGCTGCGACACTTAGCCAAGGACAGCTTTGCGTCTGACTTTTTAGAAAAAACGGAGGGGTCCTATGGGACCGTGTGTCACGGTTTACTATTACAGCGAGCGGCATTCCAAAAGGCAATCAATATGATTATTGACGCCTGCCCATCGTCAGCGGACCTGATAGAGTCGGAGCTTATTGGGCCGGGATGCCTCTTTCGCCAACATTCGGATAATCTTTTGCAGTTCATATGTGGCAAGCGAGCGGAAGCGATAGAGTTGAGACGGAGCCAACTAGCTCCACTGAACACAAACGTTGCTATGGTATTATCGAAGATTCCTCCTTCCGAATCTCATCTCTTTGACGAGAATAAAATTGAGGATCTGTTAAAGTCACAAGCAGGAAGCCTGAGGCCGACATTTAAGAGGAAAATTCCTTTCGCGAAACAAGACCAGTAAACAGGCCCGTAAGCCCGAGAGGAGATCCCAAAAAAGCCAAAACTTGAGACAGGAAAACCGATCTTCACGGAAGACATCCACTTTTCGGGCCAAGCAGGACAGAACTTCGAAGAGCCATGGTAAACCGATGCGGCGCTTTTGACACATTGAAAGTTGCAAGGTGTCGGGGAGATTGGAAAGCAGGTCAACTGAGGGATTTCGCCCAAAACTGGATCATGGCAGGAGCACCAAAATCGTTAATAAAAATGATAGCAGGGTACGCAATTCCGTTTTGCAAGAAACCTCCCTCAATCCCATTTTCCACAGCCAGTATCCAAAGACAGCAAACCTCAGTCGATGCGAAGATGTATCGAGAAATTTCGAATATGTTGGCAACCGGAGTTCTACAGGAGGTCCCGAGCTCAGTGAAATCCGGGTTCCTTTCAAGAATGTTCTTGGTCCCAAAAGCAGACGGCTCCAATCGCCCCATTTTCGACCTCAGAAGATTAAACGCCTTCCTGAGCCCAAAAAGATTTCATTTAATAAGCCATCACCGGGTTCCAGAGTTTTTACAAAGATACGACTACATGGTCAAGCTCGACCTATCGCAGGCATATTTTCATATACCTGTCAAGAAGAGTCACCAACGGTATCTAGCCCTATCATTTCAGGGGAAGGTATATACCATGACGTGCTTGCCCTTCGGACTAGCAACCGCGCCCCTTACATTTGCAAGAGTGTCAAATTGGATAGCAAGCCAGCTAAGGAAAAAGAATGTAAGAATCATCGTTTATTTGGACGATTTTTTTGATAGCCGGTCAAACCGTGGAAGAGGTGAGACACGACATGCACCTAGCCGTGGCCTTCCTAAGAAACCTAGGATGGAAGATCAACTATTCAAAGTCAATCTTAGAGCCCACTCGAGTGATAGAGTTTCTTGGGCTAGGCTGGGAGGAACCGCAAATTCGTCCCGCAGAGAAAAGTCGACCGAATCAGAAAAGAACTCCGGAAGCGAATCGACTCAGGGCTCTGGAATTGGAGACAGGCGAAGTCGATTCTTGGAAAATTAAACTTCGTAGGATTTGCAATACCTCTGGGACGGTTGCATTGTCGGCGCATCCAGATAGCCAGCAAAAGACTCCCAGAATTCGAACCAAAGACATCATATCGTATCCCGCAAGAGGTGATTCAGCAGCTTCATTGGTGGCTAGAGAATTTGGAACAGACGTCAGAACTTTTCACACCTCCGATAACAGTATTCCTGTCGACCGATGCGTCGGACGTTGGTTGGGGTGCTCATCTGCTAGACAAAACAATCAAGGGTACTTGGACGGCCAAACAAACGTTATGGCACATAAACAAAAAGGAGTTGTTTGCCGTTTTCGGTGCATTGAGGAGGTACAGGGCGATTCTGAGGCACAAAACCGTATTGATACAGTCCGACAGCCAGACGGTTGTTGCTTATATAAGAAACGAGGGAGGCACCAAATCCAGAACCCTTCTCAGAATGACGGAACAGCTACTGTTGTTTGCAAGGAGCTACCAGATCCAGATATCAGTAAGGTACATCCCGGGGGTTTACAACAGTATTGCCGATCACCTGTCTCGGCAGAAGGCGGTGCCAGACTGGCACCTGTCAGAGACTGCCATTCGTCCAATTTTTCTCAAATGGGGCCAACCAACAATCGATCTGTTTGCAACCAGGAGGTCGAGAGTCGTAGCTGCCTATGTGAGCCAGTTTCCGGAGGACACGGACGCCCTTTTCATAGATGCGTTCAGTCGCCCATGGAGCTTCGGAATTGCTTGGGTATTTCCCCCTCCATCATTAATTCCAAGGATGCTCCATCACCTCATTTCAGCGGAGGGGACTTATATTGTGATCGCCCCACGATGGGAGCAGGCATTTTGGCTGCCCGACTTACGCAAGAGAGCGCTGGAGCCATCACTGCCGATTCAAGACACCCATCTTCACCTGATAGACATGGCGACCAATCAAGTTCCACCAGAAGTCCAGCAGCTACATTTGGAGGCTTGGAAGGTGCGGGGTGGCTACATTACACCGAGGGATGGAGCGCAGATGATATAGCGCTTCTATTGAAAGCCTGGAGACCTGGTACCCTCAAGACATACTCGGCAGGCTGGAAACGATGGCTGGAGTGGGCTAGGAGTCAGAAGGTTCAAGTCAATAACCCTAACCCAAAAGAGGTCGCATTGTTTCTTAGTTTTTTACACAAGGCTAAGCAACTCTCATATAATACTATCCTCTTAAATAAATCGATAGTGACCACATTCGCCGATCCATCCCACGCTGAGGCTATAAATAGGCACCCTGTGGTGAAACATATGCTCAAGGCTATCAGCCTTTCTAAGGTGACTAATCGCAGAATCAGTATTTGGAACATTAATGATTTAATAGCCTGGTTAAAATCCAATCCCCCCGATCTGGACAGTATGTTCCAGGTTTCACGGCATCTCGCCATTTTACTTCTTCTTGCATCAGGCAGACGTATCCACGATTTAACCCTGCTAGCCATTAGTGGCTCCTATTTCCAGGATTTTGGCTCATGGATGGTTTTCTGGCCTAAGTTCGGTTCTAAGACGGACAGGTCTTCGTACAGGCAATCGGGATGGAAGATCTCAGAGAATGATGATAAATCGGTGGATATAATCAAGTGGATACGAATTTTGATATCTCTTTCCGAGGAAAGGCGACATGGCGCGCCGGATTTGGATAGTCTGTTCATATCATCTAGGGGAAAGGTGCGGCCAGCTTCAAAAGCTGTGATTGCAGGATGGGTTAAAACCGCCCTAAAGCAGATTGGTGTTGATACAGGACCAGGTAGCATTCGTTCAGCGGTTGGGTCAGATCGCTTTAGTGTGAATATGCCATTGGACGAGATTCTGAAGAAGGGAAACTGGCAGAGTGATAAAAACTTTTTCAAGTACTATTGTAAGCTAGTCGAGCCAGGAGGATCTACCGATCGTAAGGGAAATACTCCCTCGGAACATTTTGATGTTGTTTAGCCATCATTTTTGTTTTTGTTTGTTGTTTTTTTTTTCAATAAGAATGTCACCATTTATGTTCGTTGCTACAATATAAACCTTTATGTTCTACCGACTTGGGGTTTTTTCCTCCTATCACAGTACGCTCTTAGCGCCGGCAGACTACAAACACGTCTCATAAGGGTCAAGCTTCGGCAAGACCCAAAATAAATGTTTTTTACCCTTCGGGGGAAAAACATGTATAATTAAAAATTAAAACACGTCATTACGATGTCGATATTTGGAACAGTCACGTCATTTGACGAGTTATCACCAAATGCTGACGTCATTATGACGGGCTTGGATTGCGAGAAAAAAAGTTTCGCATGGAGGTGGTTTCGAGCGGTTTGAAAACAAATTGCATCAAAAAGAAAATGCAAAAATTATGAGCACATTGGTACATCACATTTTTCTGAAAAAAAAATGGAATTTATTGGAGGGTTATGGATGGAATAATAATTATTATGAAAGTTATTCACTTATGTAGGCATATACAGGGTGTTTCACAACTTATCCAACAAATTGTAACCACATATGCACGGTTACGAAAGAAGTTGATTCCTCAAAAAAAAATGTAATAAAAGTCCTACAGAAATCGAGATAATAAAATAATAGTTTGTAGGTAGTAACGCCTAGACTCTCTGGACGTGATAAGGGTACAGTTGGGCCTCATGTAATATGCGAAACGCTGTTGGAAGTGACACTTCTGGGACCCGTTGGGCTAACTGCCTTGTGCTTATTCCCGGATTTTCTTCCAAAATATCCAAAATTTCGTCTTCGGTATTTAAAACGCGGGCGAACCCGAGCCCCATCCACTTCACGTCTAGGGCGCAAATCTCAACTAGCACGTGCACGTGAAACAATTGAACTAAGTGTTTCGTGATGTGCCTATTCGGAAATCGGTGTGCTTAGATCAGGCATATTTCCCTAAAAGGTGAGCTTGTCATGTATGTTTGGGTTAATGTATACTGACTGACAGTGGAAATGCAGCACTCTTGCCTAATGAATGTGAGTCAGGATTCCTCATTTACAAACATGTAAGCCCCATGACATATATTTTTACCCTATTCATTTTAGTACGAAAGCTGAATTAATATAATTTTGCAGTGCATTGTCTTCTGCTTGTGAGTATGAAAATGCCAGTTAAATGTTTAGAAGCTTTTTTGTTAGGCTGTGATGTTTTAAATTGTCCTACAGGGGCTTCAAAAGTAAGGTGAAATACTTGAGGAACGATTCTTGGGTTGCCTTTAAAAAATGGTGTGTTTTAAAGGTCATACATTTCATGTTTAAGTTTCCTCTAGCAAACATTCTTTTTATAATTCTCATTCATTTCCGAGCCACTCTTACAGGATTTTGCGCAAAAATGATGTCTAAGAGGGGAGAAGTGAACATCATATCTTGCAAATCCCTCATGAACGGCACTGGAAGAAATAAAAAGAACTTATTTTACAGCTAAGAATTCCACTTAATGTATTGTAGCCATGTATCAAATTTCACTTGAATATTGAGAGTGATACGGATATTTTTTTTGAAAACGTCACCACCCTGTATCGCAAAATTTTAATTCATGTGAAGTATTTTTTTAAATGAACCCAAGAATCGCTTACATAGATATTTTACCTTACCTTCGAAAACCCTGTTTATCTGTGAATAATTATGTAAAGGTGTCAGAAGCACCTTACCTTAACAGCTTTTTCTTCTCATACCTAATGTTCAGTTGTTTGGCAATAATCACAAGCAACCTTTTTTTCATAACTGATCTACTTGGCCCAAGCATACTTCTTCTCAATTCTGGTCTACATTTAGAAAAAAATAACGGAACAGGGTGAGTTATCATTATACTAATTTTTCAAGGATTATAGTACGTAAATATACAGTGTGGCGCATCGAAAACGAAACAGGCGCATTTACTGGCAGCTTAGTTTTTTTCTTTGAAAAACGCTCAGACCCGTCGATTTTGTTTTCGTTATAAAGGGAATTGAAAGACCTTCAAAATGAGGTATCACTCGACCCCCCTTTCCATTTAAGATCTTAGGGTTCGTGTCACCCCCGCCCAGGGGGCTGCACGTGTTAACGTGATATTTTGCCAAACTTGTGTCCCCATCGAAAACAAACGACGGGTCTGAGCGTTTTTCAAAAAAAAAAAAACTGAGCTGCCAGTAAATGCGTCTGTTTCGTTTTCGATGCGCCACCCTGTATATTAAGGGGAGGTGATGGCGATGAAAGAAATAAAATTTGTCGAAGAAAGCTTTGAATGGACGAATTTTTTGCTCGAAGGGACTGATAACTTTTTTGTATGTTCAGCCTAAGATACTCTGTAGTTATGGTAGTCTAGACCGGTGTGCCCAAAAAAGTTTGCGTGGTATAAACACTGTAAAAGACATTTGGAAATTCATAATAGGTGAGAGAGACACAATGACCATTTCCTCCGCTTTGGTTGCTGTATTTTCCACGTCATTCAGTATAGATATACGCGCATTAACAAAGCCATCGAGGAAGGAGAACTTACGATAAAGATCCAATGAAGAAGGGAGTTTGCAAGTTGAGCTCGGTTAGGGGTGTGCCAGAGTAACCACGAACTATGCTGGCATTGTCCACTTGCAAAATGCCCTCTCGTCCTTCTCGATACACCCGGACCCAGTGCCATTTGTTCAAGGTCAATGATTCGCGGCTTCTGAAACACAAAGGAAATTATATAGTCCAAGAGATGGAATTTCGTTATGGGTGCAATCTGTGAAAATTAAGACATTTTTTTAAATGCGGCGTCTTTATTTGGGCGAACCGCTGTTCTTCCACTCATTTAGCCCATTTTGAAAAATGTACATCAACATACGAAACGTTGGGAAATCTCGAAACTGGATATACTACAGACCAAAATATGTGAATTAACCTAAACATACCTCAAAAGTTGATAGTTTGCGAGATACAGGGTGTCAAAGTTACAATTTTATTTTCTATTTTTCCTTATTGCTTGAGAAGTATTTCAGATTTTGGCAGGGAAGATTTCTAGTATCAGAAACAAGAATCCGTTATTTTTCATGGCCAAACTTCTAGAAGCCGCCACTTAAAGCACTGTTTCGGTAAATAACTTATCATAACTTTTTTGTGCTACCCTGTATACAAAAACTGACCAAAAAAATCTGTTTTTCTCGTATCGTATCGTAGATTTACTTGTTCGAAGTCTCTAAAGCTAATAGTTTTCGAGATATTTGCTTTTAAAGCATTACCTCTTGCCAATCCGTACATTAAATGCATATCAGAATATTCATCAAACCTATACTAGCACAGGTTAGTCGCTCGCACTTCAAATAGTTTTGCAGGGAGGCGCATTTTCACGGAAAGTTATCTCTTGCTGATGGATCAAGCTTCCCGTTCGCCTAAAAAAGTAAAAGTACAACTCGCGTGAATGACGGTCCACATCCACAGCAGTCGACCAGCGTCCACCGACTGCTACACACATGCATCGCGGAGCCCGAACCATGTATTGTCGTTGATAAGTGTACAAGTAAATCTATCGATGGAGGCGTATACGTATACCAACGTCTAAATATTGAGACATATTCCCATTTTGTATGTGCGCCTAACCTGAAATGTGATGGGTGCGTAGTATGTGCTGTGTCAATCTACTTGATTCCACTTGTTGAGGTCACTCAATCAAAAATTGTTCATTTCGATTGATTTTAATGATGCCATTAGTTATTCTGAAGCTGAAACTAATACCCGTATTTTAATTGGAGAAAATGGGGATGGGCACATCGATGAATACGAGTATCTACGTTCAAAATAAATGGTCGATGGTCTTGTATCAAATAATTTTATTGAACGGTTGGAGGACAGATATGAGTGATACTTCAGTGTTATGTTGAAGCATTGGATATTGAGATATTCCGGTATTTAAATTCAAGTTAAGATTATTAAATCGTCCATATTGAATACTTTGTCTTGGAGATTTGCCTGTATTGTTGCGGGATATACAGGGTGCGAATATTTAAGGGTGTGAATCTACATGCAAAAATAATGTTACTTTGCTTTATAAACTATGGTCCAAAAATGTTTCCTTACAAAAACTCGGGGTGTTGAAGTTTTAGGAAAAAATGGAAATTAATTACTATTTTCAGAACCACTTCAGATATTTAACTGATATTTAGTACGTATTCATATTTTAAGAAAAAATATTGGCGTAACATTATAACGGGATAATTGAGGGTAAATGAAAATGCTCCTTGTCTAGACATACAAAAAGGTCTAGCTACACGGTAGATTGTCAAATTCAACATTTTTTAACGGTCCACTTTTAATATTTGACTAGATATTCATAACTATGTTGTGGGATATGGCGGTGTACAATCACTGAAGACACTTGATGGAAGAGTTGTAGTTACTAAAATATACCCAATAAATGCTCTACAAGACGCAATGGAAGGTTATGAAGTAACAATGATGGATGATGCTTACGTATCCGTGATGTGGACGAAAAATCGTTTCCTGGGTCAACCGACGGTTGTATTGTTGTGTCCCGGTATACGCTTCAGTATAAAAAATTATGCTATGAAATTAATTTTATGATGACATGGAACAACGTTAAAGGATAGTCTTAAGTATCTGACGCTTAAGTATTCAAAGTTACAAAACAACAGTCAATGGTAGCAACGGAAAAAGTTGAAATGAAAGCCCCGGTACTGAAAACATCGATATCGCAAACAAGGATATCGATATTTTCAGCCCATCCCTAATATATCCGTTATCCGCTGTTACCGGGTTACTCTCTCGTTCTTACCCTTAAAGGCGATATTTAACTGAAATCAAGGGAATTGGAGTATGCTTCATTAATTTGTTTCTGATTGTAAATTTAATTATGGAAGACTAGGGAGAGCTTCGATTGAGGCAGAAAAGGGGTTGAAATTCTTCCAGGTAAGCAAGAGCGAGAGTCTGGGAAAGATGACTTATCGATTTTATGACAGCTCAACGGTTTAAACCATAACTCCCCCATTTAATTCGAATGCACGAAGGCTATTGTATATTACTTTCCACGCCTACTGGCGAGGAATTATTGTAATCGCGAAAAAACTCGAAAATGAGATTTGTTTTTTTGATCTTATTATTATTTCTGTCGGTCTCCCCTGTATCCTCGTCCTATCTATAACTTTGCCTTCCGTTTCCATTTTTGGGCCTTGAATCGTTGGTAGCTAAACTTCAGTACTATGGCTTTAATAAGGAAGCATGTTTGCGTTTAAAATCATATTTGACAGGAAGTTATCAATCGATTCTAGCAACACATTCTCAGACAAAGCGGAGATCCTATCGGGAGTTCCTCAGGGCTCAATATTGGGCCCCTTGTTATTTTTAATTTATACATCTGATATCCTTGCGTCTTTAAAGTCTTGTAAAGTTCAGGCCTTCGCGGATGACAACCAGGTTTATTGTTTTTTTTGATATTGAGGATTACAAATATTACGAAAATTGTATAAATGAGGACATTAACACCTTGAACAATCTCTCATTAGGTCAGAACTTAAAACTTAATCCGTAAAAATCACATGTAATGATTTTTGGTAACAAATCTGAGACTGAGTTTTTGGAAGATAATCTCAATATAATGGCCAATAATTCAAAATTGAATTTTGTTGAGAGTACAAAAAATCTCCGTATAGTTTTAGATTCTCAGCTTAGATTTAAAGATCACCTAAAAAATAATGTTGTTCTCTAAAAGTTTTGTATAATAACAGACAGATACATCAAACAATTGTGTGAATCCCTAATTCTTTCCAATTTCAATTATTGCGATTTTGTCTATGGGTTTTGTTCAGATCAGGCAAGTAGGGCTCAGATTCGGAAGGTGCAAAATGCGTGCCTCAGGTTTATCTATGGTCTGCGTAGGTTTGATCATGTATCTCATTTGTATAAAGAAATTAAATGGCTTAAAATGAATGAGCGTCGCACTTTCCATTTTTCTACTTTTTTATTAAAAATTATAACATTACAGGTTCACGCTTAATTTTCCGACATTCTGTTCATGATATAAATGTAAGGTATTTAAAAAATTAACTATGCCGCTTCATAGTAGTGCATTGTTTCAACGATCATTCTCATACAATGCTGTTAAACAATTTAATTCAATCCCCAACCAGTTCCTCAATCTTTCTCTTTCAAGTTTCAAAATACAATACAGGGTGTCCGCAAAGTTGGGGTTTTCCTTTTCAGAAACAACTACCCTTGAAATAACAAAGGTAATGTGTAGTGAAACAGGGGCGACCAAGTAAAAAAAAATAAAGGAAAAAGTACTCACTCTCCAGTTGACGAGAACGGCTAAGTACGTCTCTGCCCGAAATCATTCCGCTCCAACAGAAAATGAAATCAGCTGAAGCGCTACCGAGCAGACGCAGAAACCACATTGATTGTCTTACACTTAATGGCACATCTTCTAACAAGGAAGGCAAAATGTTCTAAGTCTAGGTATTGCATCCCGTCCAATCGATTTGGGAGAATAAATGGTCCAATGAGCATACCGTTCACCATGCCAGCCCAAACATTCACCGAAAATGTTTGTTGAAAATGACCAAACATGAATGTTGCGAAAGTTATTCACCCCATTACGCGTGAACGTAGATTCGTCTGTCACCAATATGCACTTCAAAAAGTCCGGATTATTGTCATGTTGATGCAACAACCACTCACAAAACCGCACTCTTGCTGGAAAATCGTCAGGTTGAAGGGCTTTTACACGTTGGACGTGAAACGGATACAGCCCCTCTTCACGCAGCGTTTGCCACACTTTAGTTTTTGATACTTGCACTTCTCTAGCCACGTCTCTAGTACTTGTTGTTTTTTGAAACGCAATCGATTATACGAGTTCATTTACCTCTACACGCGTGACCGTAACCTTCGGTTGAAGGTTGCGTACTAACCTGACACACTGACCCCGACCCAGTTCTGCCGTCGCGTTGAGACCTTGTAACAGTCGGGGATATCGCGGCGGGTCGCGGCTACAGGACGGTATTCAGTTATTTTTGATGTTGCAGAGCCCTTTATCTCGGTTCCCTTAAGACATTGGTGTATATGGTACTAAGAAAAATTGCTTATGTTTTCAAGATCTACACGTCGTGTAAACGAAAACCCCAACTTTGCGGACACCCTGTATAAGAAATATTTGCTAAATACAAATCTGAACAAACTTTTTTAGAATAGAGATTGAAGATTATAATATAGGTATACAAGTAGAAAAAATATGTCAAGCAAATTTTATAGTAACCAGTAACCAAATTTTATAGTGACCAGTATTAGTTAATATCTTTTTGAATTTTTAATTTACTTTCAGTCCATTTAGTGTTAACACGTGATTATTATTATGATTATTCTGTATTGTTGTTTAAGACTTATTGCTATTATTATTTTTTTTGTCTTATTTTGGTTCAGACTTGCGCCAATATTAGGCAATGTATTCTGTATTTTTTTTCTAAATCAACTTTGTAAGAAGATTATTGTTTTATTCAATAAAGTCATTTATTATTATTATTATTATTATTATTATTATTATTATTAATAATACCTATACAGCCCTGATGTTGCTAATGAGCACGAAACAGCGCGCCTACTTGCACATAAATTGTTTGAAATGATTGCTGAAATAAGTTTGCACTCTTGATTGATATTAAGGAGTATCCAACAATCGTTATTTTGAAAAAACGTCGACTTGAAGAATGCGAGGTTGTTCCATCGTCTAATATCCCATCCTGTAAACATGAAAATAAATACGAAAAGGAAGCCAAATCACAAAGAGAGCAAACTTACGTGATATTGGCGATTCCGCTGCCCAGGTTGAATCTGAATTGCAGGTGTCCTCGGGCGAGATTCAATGAGACGAAATCACCTTTTCCATTTTTCATTTGTCCGCTGTAGAATATTAGGCCATTAGGTGCCTTTGGCATGAACGAAACTTCAACGGAGAACGTCTTTTTGATGCCTTCCAATCGAGGGAACTGGATGTAACTGCTCCCATTGAACTCAGGAGTCAATATTCCAACATTCTTGTATTCTGGAATAGATTTTCACATTCAGTTTGCATGCTAGATTTAATATGGAAACATGCCGGGTCATACGTGCTTAAAATTTATCAAGAAAAAGATTCTGTGCTAAGCCAGGGCTGGTAAGATTTTCGAAGAAATGTTTTCGCAAATCGTCCGGACATACCGGGTGTTTCTAATTCGACTCTCACCATCGGGATGCCGAACACGGTAAGGAAAATGTTGCGCATTCAAGTAACTGAGAAAATTACAGTTAGACCCGATTTTACTGTTGACCCGCGGGTTCGAAATCAAAAGCAGAAGGCGTTTTTAAAAAAATGGTTCTAATGAGTATGGTGGATTTCCTGTAAAATGTTTCTCGAACTAGAGAAAAATAATTTCCATATTCATCCATGTATTACCTGGTTTAGCTACAAAAACACCCTTTTTCATTTGAGTTTGGACAAAAAATTTGCGGCTATGGCACAAACTCCACTCGTAAACAAGTTTCGTATATACAGTGGAACCTCTCTATCTCGAACCATCAAAAAATTGCCAAAAAATTTCAGTTAGAGAAATATATAGAAAAACTTCGGATTTAAATGTTTATTGAGGTAATAATATACATCATTAAAACGCAAAAGTCAAGAAATACATATACATACCCGGGCACAACATTTAAAAGCATCAAAGTACCAATGGAAAAGTTTCATTAGTTTTTTGATATTTGTTAAGATAGGATCAGAAAAAATTAAAATGATTTGGCCAAACCTTAGTTTTTTCCAAATATCTCAGTAGGCCCTGAAATTTGTACAAGTTTCTCAACGGCAGGTATGTAAATACGCTCCAAAGAACGCATCTTTTTTCTAATTTAACCTAGGCTGTATCACTCACAGGTGTTGAGATCCTCATGAATAGGATTCTTATCTTGCACACCCTATATATTGTATACTATAAATAGTTCAAACAGTATCTAGCACTAAAACCGAAAACTAAATAAGAATATTTTAACTGTACAATGATGTTTGTTTTGGTACTGATATTCTTGCCACTGTCAACAAAAAATAACAAAACAGGTTTTTATCGCTGTTGCTGTGGATACGGCAGGGAATTACAATTATTTGTAAGATATGCATGTTAGTGGGTTTGTGTTCAAGTAATTATTAAATGTACCCCCATTTTGTAGTAGGTAAAGGTACTGACGTTATATTCTAGGGTTATAAAGTACTCGTCAGGAGCTGCAAAATGATGTGCCACGAGACCCCCGTTTCCATATAATTTTTTTCCAAGATGGCGCCCAACGTCCATCTTGACATTTTCAACTGTCAATTTTACTCTAAAATATGGTATATTTTTTTAATTGATCCGTTCAAAAAATCAAAGGGGAGGGGGATATTAAAGAAAAGCATGTATAATTTTAGTGATAACGTTGACTATATGGAAAATTGCTGTAAGTAAATACAAATATATTGTTTATGATTGTGAAGGCACATGCATTCATAGAAGTTCATAAAATTCTTTGTAATTGTATTATTTTATAATTAATTTTATCGAGCTGGTATATTTCTCTTAAAACAACCTTCTATGCTTTGACTTATGGATAAATGAAAAATTATCTAATCATCTAAATACAGACATATTAAAAAACATACGTTACATGCATACCTTTATTATATTATAAATTAAGCAATTTGTTTTCGATAATACCTAATTTTATACTAAGCTTTCATCTTGTAACTGCTGTGATTCTACATTGTCTGGTTGCGTTTGACTTATGTACATTTAACTTTATCATCTACTCATCTTTACGTGAATGCTTCTTACTTGTGATTACATAGCTAAATGTTACTTATTTCCTGTTCTTTTTTATGTTTTTTTATTTCTATCTCAGTGAGTGCCTGAGTGTATGTGACTTAAATCTGTCTGCACACTTTACACACTATTATGTTGTACTTGTTACTTCTCATTACTATATGTCTTGATCATTATTTTTTTGTATCTGTGATTTTTTTATGTTTGTTAATCTTATGTAGCCCTGGTTGGTACCAAAAACAGCTATTAGATGATATACCCAATATGGAAACAGTGGTTCATATCTACAAACTAGATTATTTCTGTTTCCGAATATGCATAACTCGGCTACAAACGCCCGCTGTCTATTCCAAATTGGTCGGTACTTGGATTTGCGGTTCTTCGAACTGTGAAAGCGTGATGAGAGGTACGGAATGGGATTCCCAAGCGGAATTCCCCAAGTACGTCTATGAGTTTAACCATCGACTACTAACGCTGGATATCCCATTTCAATAAACTTTGGAGAAGTTACTGAATTTGAGCATTTAGTGGTGGTCGAAATTACGAGGGTTTCTACCGAACTAAGTTATGGATTCGTCTGGCTTTTGGAGCTGGAGGAGACTGCTTCATTTGCACGGGATGTGTCGGCAGAATCTTCGTGGGGACAACTTTGTCTATCCACGTTATTCTACAGAGCGTTCCCAAAACATGAGGCCAAGATTCATAGGGGCGACTCTGTACTTGCATCATCTGTCAGGCTATGTTCGTGTTAGTTGATTATAACTTCAGCGAAGAAGCTGCATGGTCATCTATTCCTATAGTTCGTAAGTCTCTTATCAGATTCTAATACAATTTTGATACAAAAGTACTGCTATGTCAGTGGTAGAATACCTTAAATGCTTTCACCAACAAAGGCACAGGTACAACTAAAAATAGAAAATTTGAGAACGTCAGCAGAATTAATATTTTGAATGTTTTCGGCGTTGCTGATTATTTTTTTGACGTAGTTGATAGAGGGCCAATGCCCAAAAATATGCTACTTTTTGGTGATACGGACCGCGGTAGAAATACAGGTTGTTCGAAAAGTCATGCTCTCTTTGCTTACATACAGGGTGTTCAGTTTTAAATGACAAGGCTTATCGAGTAATAGCTAAAATGCAAACCTATTGTAGCAGTTCAATTGAAATTAAACACAAAACCAGTTGTCGGATTTCTATAAACAAAGTCAATACGGCACACGTTCCTCGTTGACTCTAGCTTTTCAGTCAAGCTTAACTGCTATCATAATCTTAACACGATCATACAATTAGTATCATACGGTAAAGGGCAACGACCTTAAAGCCGTAAAGAGTAGCAATTAAACGTGCTCAAGGACATGCATGTCACTCACCTATTTCGCAGTTCTTCCCGAAAGTCCCCGGCAAACAATCGCAAAGGAAGGACCCCAAGTGAGGCCTGCACTTAGACCGGTAGTGACAAGGGTTAGAGGCGCAGGGATCATCCGTTTTTTCGCAAACATCCCCCTGGTAATGAGGGGCGCAGGCACAAGTGAACAGGTCGCCCATCTCGAAACATCGCCCTTTGTTCCGGCAAGGGGTGGCCGTACAGGCGTGCTGGCTGCAGTCGTAAATGCCCTCCGTCTTCAACACCCAGTCGCTTTGGTGGATGTTTAAGCCGACTTCTTGCCGTCCGAGTTTCAGCTTCCTTATGCAACCCTGCAGCCCTTTGTCTGTGCCGATGTTTTCGTATATCCTGCAAATAAAGAAATTGATGTAGTTTGTGTATTTTGGATTCTTCAAACGACCATAGCTGCTTGTTTGCTTTCCGTTCATCTATTTAAGGGTGTGAATCTATATGGAAAAAATATGCAACTTTATTAACTTTCACTACTTACTAAATATCAGTGACATATCTGAAGCGGTTCTGAAAATATTAATTAATTTCTATTTTTTCCTCCAATTTATCTAGAAACTCGTCGTCTAGCCATTGCCGAGATTTTGGTTCCATTGAAGGTATGGGGATGATACCCTGTCTAAAGCTCGTATTAGAAACATTACCTTGAATGATTAGTAGGGATGTATCCAATAAAGGTATCTTCTTGCAGATCCAGAGCTTTGCTATGTCCTGACGCTTGTCCACCCATGTCTTCTCCATCGTCTACTTTGAGCATTCCATCTCTGTGATACCTCTTGATCACAATTTTGTGGAATTTTCCTGTTTCGACCTTCTCCAGTGATCTAATTACAGCAGGGCCACTCCCAAGGTCGTATCTGTAAAAAATCGAACACAATTAAATAACAATACTTCAAAATGAAGTTGAGACTTGATTTAGATACTTGGCAACCTCGAATGTAGTGATTCTTAACCGAGTTTTCAAGCATTGAAAACTGCAATTTTTAGGGGTTTAGAAAAGAGTTACTAAGTAACCATTTCGTTCAACGAATTCGAATAGGTTAGAAGGGACCAACGTTATTCACATTGCAATGCATTTGCAAAATACCCGAATTCAGCTTAATTTTAATACTTTGGCAACCTCGCAAATTTGTAATTTTAACCAAGTTTTTAGGCATTGAAAATGAGCATTTTTGGGGTTTAGAGAAGATTTACTACATAACTATTTTGTTCAGAATTATTAGAAAAAACTAGAAAACCTTGGAGCGAATGTTTTTGCAAGTTTTGCAGGTAGATGGGCAGTACGTATCAAGTGCAGTGTTGCCATTTACACTGCGGTAACATACTTTATATTTTGAGTTAAGATTCAGGGTGGATCATTTTGCAAAATACCTGTATTCAACTTAATTTAGACACACGGTAACATCAAAAATAGTGAGCTTTTAGAAATTTCTTATGATTTTGGAAAAGAGTTGCACAGGTACTATTTTACTCAGCTTGATTCGAACTAAAAAACTTCAAAGCCAAGAAAACCAATTTCTTGTTTGTTTGTAAATAGGCAATACTAAACCAGTGTTGCCATTTACACTGTTTACGATTATACAGTTTTGTAACAGAAGATGTAACTTTGTATTTCAAGATTCAGGGTGTATCATTTTGCAAACTACCTGAATTCAACGAAGCCCTTGATGATTGCAAGTGACACGTAGTCACCTAGGCCATCTGCTTTTTGTTGATTGTAGAGTAAAATTCCGTCTTCATTGTAGGATTTGAATTCGATTTCCACGCTGAGCTTGTAGTAGGCCTTGAGCGGTTTCAGTCTTACGTAGGAACGTCCATAAAACGCTGGGGTTGTGAATCTTCCACTTATTTCTATTTCACAAAATACACCTGGGAAAGGAAAGAAAGTCTTATGGTGATAGAACAAAATGGTTTCATGAGAATCTGTTGGAACTGTAAATATTTCAGTTCGCTCTAAAAGTATTTTTGAAAATAAAAAGCAAAACAAACGAAGTGTCACCGATATTGTCCGGTATTATTTAACCTTACCTGTAAAGTTGGGGCCACACATACACGCAAACGTTGATCCTGGAAGGTCTACGCAGGTGCTGGCTTCACGGCAGGGGGAACTGGCACAAGCTCGGTACTCATCAGGCGCAGAAGGGTTAACTGTAAGCAATTCTACATGGACTAGCATTGCTACACAGGGGACACCCGAGCACAGCGAACACTGTGCAACTACTGTTCATAAATAAATAGTTGACGAAAATATTTGAATTCATTCTATATTTATCCGTCTTCAAAAAATCAACATTAAGTTGTAGCTATTTAGTATACGGATTACAAGAAACAAAACTGTGCAGATTATTCACTTTATCCAGGGTGAGCGGATACAGACATCCTATAAAGTAAACACGCGGCATAAATGGCTAAGAGCTAAAATTGATATTAAGCAAATCATCATTTAGGTTTTACTGTTTCTTCCGATCGAAATACAATTTGTTTTCATATTAATACATCATATGTTGTAGCATATAACAATAGAATTAAGGAGATTGAGTGTATTCACTTTGCCCTTATCCGCTTAGCTCCAAACCACTTGCTTTGGAGCCATTGATTCAATCCATCTGATTTGTATAACTAGGAAAGCCCGTTAAGCATACGCGATATATTTAAAAAATGACATCAATGGCGTTCACTCTGCACTTCCTACGCAATGGCGTCATCAGTTCACAAACGATTGAGTTCGGCCCAATTTGAATCCTCTAAGAAAAATTATTAAATTGAACAGGCCTATACAATTAGTCCATAGACATTCTTTCTCTGCCCTACTGGTAGTTACCGACCATGTGGCAACGTTGTCCCTTTTCACGTCAGCGCGGCATCGCTACAGCGAGTTTCCTTTCGTTTCGTGCAAGGTCTGTATGTTTTTTGCGCTTCAGTACGGATAGACATATAAGCCGTAGTGGTGCGTCAGAAAATATTTCTCAACCATTCTGTTTTAAAGGGTAAATCGATTATGTGTGAAGCATGGCTAGTAGATTCAAAGAATTAACCAAATTTCAACCCCCACACATTTTTTTCTAAAAATGATGAGGACCCTTTAGATCGTCAAAGAAATGAAAGTTTTCATCTTTTTCGTTTTTCGTCCTTTTTCTCTGCCATCACTGGACCGACTTTTAAACAGGAGGCGGACAAAAAAGCCAAAAACTAAAAAAAAGGACAAAACGATTTTCGAAAATAGCTGTGCGACTGTGACCTGGATGGAAGCTAATTTCTTGGATCAATCGCGTACGCAGATGCCGAATCCGATGTCTTTCTCCTTATAGGCTCTGATCCTTTTTGATCATCAGATCAGACCATGTTACGTATTTCAGTTGATCTTTATGTCTTTCTCTCTGAGTGTTGACGTTCTTCTAGCCTGGTGATAGCTGCACCAATTTTGATGAAACTTTTGGATGCTACTTCTTTTCTTGTTCAATAACTAGGAACTAAAAAAATTTGAACTTGTCAGAATTTTTACAAACAAGTAAACATGGTTTTAAACATTTCTCAAGGCTGTGATCGCTTAAGGGCATAGTCAAGGTTCTTCTTAGGGAACTGAAAAGTCTTGCAGTCTAGAGAAGATCATCTTCTAGTTATTCATGCCAATAATGATACGCAGAGGATCGAACGTTTTCAGTTTGGACCTATGAGAAACTTCAAAATAGTGGTGCGTTGAAAGTACACTTAACATCACTTTTATTTGTTTTGAAAGACACCTACAAGTTTATCCGATTTTAATAATTTTTGGCATATACAGGGTAGGGTGACTTAGAAGTTGTGTCATTAATTTTCAGATAATGATTGTAGCAGGAAGATAAACCAAAATATGTGTGTAAAAATAAAAAAAAAATTACCTTGGTTTATAAAGTATCCTCCCGACAAGTATTTCAGTGCGGACCTGTATTTGATCGTGCGGTCTTGGAGCACCGGCATGCCCTCCCCTGTGAGGTCTTAGTGACCTGATACACGAGCCCTTTGTACTACATTAACAAAGGCACGAGGGGTTAGTTGCACTCGATTGGGAAACCGATCCGCATAAATCCGTGATTCCGCGGCAGCATTTTGTAAAGACTCCCCCCCGTAAATAAGAATCATGTCCACAAGTTCAGCATTTTCGTAAACATGTGCCATTTTTTATTTCGTTTGAACTACGCAACAAACACCACTATTCACTCACGCGTTACCAACTGACACATTGACTGAATACAACTGAATAAAATTCAAGTAAAAACATCGTGATAAGCGTTTCAAATTCTTTCGCTTTTTTGTTTCCGATGCGATGAACCGATAAGGCGGATTATATCCGTTGTTGCCAAACACGAGCACATAATATTATTATTGAGACAGGGCGGTACTCAAACTTCTAAAGGGCTATAACTTTGTTACTTTAATTTTACCACAAACATGGTAAAGGAAAAAACATTCCTTTTGATCAGATCTACTCACTGTTAAAATAAATGACTCAACTTCTTGCTGACAAATCGGGTTTTTGATGGTGTTTAGGTATGGAATAAGATGGGGCTCCACTACTTTCTGAGCCAGAAGTGTTAACCGGCGGTCTTGTCGCTCTGTGGTCCGTAAATGTACGAAAAATGAATGCTTCTTTATCACCAAACAATGCACGCAGCCACCATAGAAACTTAACAGAAAAACCTGACCATTTTATAACTTGTTATTCATGACAAGATAAATCGATATGTAAAAAAATCTTGAATTCTAATAAACATACGTAGCTGTTTACCTTTTTTTGTCACTCAGTATACATTGGAAACATAATATGCATGATTCAAGTACTTTTATAACTTTCCTAAGCTAGCCAAAAGCAACTCATATTTTTTCTCTTCCTCGGCCTTTTCGGAACGAAAATACCTCCACCCTTTTGCTAAGACTTCTGTGTTTCTGCAGCTTTTCCGTTTCAGAATAGAATGGCACAATCTCAGTAATATTAACTAATTTGTACAAAAGCACGGAGTGAGTTTATTACTTTCAAGCAGCTTTTATTTTCAGTTTTTCTTGGTAGAGGTTAAAAAGATTCCATTTACTGCACTCAAGTTACATTAGAAAATGTCATGCCAGATGAGAAGCTTTAAGGCCAGTACACACTGCAAACATTCAGATTAAATCGCGACTATCTTTGTGTCATTGGGAAAAGCTTTCGACTGAGATGGAATCAATCCTAGCTTTGACTCAAAAAACGATTGAATTAGTTCTGAAAAGAGCATGCGTAGATAAAAAATTCGCGTTCCAACAGAAACAGTATAACAGCTTTTCGGGTATTTGGTCTGGCAACTACAAACACCATCTTTCGAAATAGGAAAAACCGCGTCCCCGTAGTCCTCAGAAACTAATCATGGGATTGCTTGGCTCCTACCAGAACTTTGTTCAGAAAGCCTAGGAACATTTATTCAATTTTTATACAAATCGAGTGGGATCCATTTTCTATGTTTTGTGTGGGGTCCTTTCAACTAAGTTGAGGTTATGTTACTGTGTACTTTTCTCGGTCATGCGCAGAAAAATAATTCGGAATTAGTTCTGAACTAGTTCGGAAGTGCTTGTTGAAACAAGACTCGAGCCAGAAAACTTCATCAGTTGGTCAACGGACTACATCTTAAGATACATAAAAAGAATATTGAAAGCTTTTGAAATCTTGTCAGATAAAACAATCTCATTCAAATGACAATCTCCCGCTTGAGTGCTCGTAGAGATAATTATACCCGAGGAATACTCCAACAGATCAAAGTTTCATATCAATTCCCTCGTTATAATTTCCTGGAAGTTACATCCTCGCAGCGTTTGTCTGGAGCGACGATTTAACTTTATTGCAAATCTTTATCGTCAAACTTTTCTATGACCATTTCACCGTGAAGATTCTCGGTAAGCTATAATATTAGTTCGTGGTTTGTGGAATATAACGAGATTGGAGGAAAAAAAGTTATAGGAATATCCTGTTTGAGCATACATTTGGTCCGTAAATTGGAAATACTATGCGAACGAATTCGAACAGATTGGAAGGAGCAGATATATTCACATTGTTTTGTTTGTCGCCAAGATTGTTGTTATAGCGCATACTTTTGGCTAATTTGACTACCATTGCCAACTAAAGTGACGAAGTAATATACTCGAGAGAAAATATTTGTCAGAAAAGTATAAAAATCGTAGCACTCCGTTAATAAGTAGCTACTCGTATTTACTGTTTTCAATTTTATTTTTAGCTCCTGAAGATGACAGCATAGCCTGACGAAAGCTTGAGTATTTGTAAGTCAAGAGATCTGATCGAAAGAAATGTTTCTTTCCTTTAACATTTTTCTGGTAAAATTAAAGTAACAAAGTTATAGCCCTTTAGAAGTTTGAGTACCGCCCTGTCTCAATAATAATATTATGTGCTCGTGTTTGGCAACAACGGATATAATCCGCCTTATCGGTTCATCGCATCGGAAACAAAAAAGCGAAAGAATTTGAAACGCTTATCACGATGTTTTTACTACAATTTTATTCAGTTGTATTCAGTCAATGTGTCAGTCGGTAACGCGTGAGTGAATAGTGGTGTTTGTTGCGTGGCTCAAACGAAATAGAAATTGGCACATGTTTACGAAACTGCTGAACTTGTGGACATGATTCTTATTTACGGGGGGGAGTCTTTACAAAATGCTGCCGCGGCATCACGGATTTATGCGGATCGGTTTCCCAATCGAGTGCAACCAACCCCTCGTGCCTTTGTTAATGTAGTACAAAGGGCTCGTGAATCAGGTGACTTAAGACCTCACAGGGGAGGGCATGCCGGTGCTCCAAGACCGCACGATCAAATACAGGTCCGCACTGAAATACTTGTCGGGAGGATACTGTATAAAACAAAGTAACACTTTTTTTTTTAATTTTTTTACACATATTTTGGTTTATCTTCCTTCTACAATCATTATCTGAAAATTAATGACTCAACTTCAAAGTCACCCTGTATATTTCATGCATCATATATTTCCCCGTACAATAGTCCTTAAATCTTGGAGAAATATTTACAGACGTGGTCGGTCGGTACGATGGTAGCCTTGATGCACCAAACATTGTGTTCGTCTGATTGTATCGCCGAGTTATAGTATCGTGGCTGGCGCTTATGCCATGGTCGACTGGAGTGGTTCAACACTGTTGCCAAATGGTCTATAGTCAGGGCAGAGAAGAAGCGTTAGCGTTATTAAATGGTGGGGGACGATGGACTAATTGTATGGATCTGTTAGGCGACTTGATCCACTTGATTTGTGCTGGACATAATATGAGCTAGTGGCTTAGCGTGAAAAGTGCAGAGTCAACCTATTTGACGCCATTATTTTTTAAATTTCATTCATTCGGTATCAAGCTTTCACACTACCATACTTACCTATACACTCTCTTCTGTCAGATGACTCAGAATGTTCTGGCATACACGTGCAAGCTCCCTTCACGCAGTGACTGTATAAAATTCTGCAGTCTGAATCGTCTGAGCATAGATCGCCCAGTAGGTCGGTTACAACCCTCACAGTAGCTGGTGTGGGTCGGAATGCCGGGGCGAAGTTACCACCTAAGTAACAATACTTTTGTTGTAGCTTTTTTGAAAGATAAACATTTTGTTTCGTTGTCCTTTGGTTGGTAAGGCTGGTTGCTTAACAAATGAATAGGGTCCATAAGGGATATTTCGGCCCTAAGAGTCACTCAAATTTTAAGATGATAGCATCCAAATATTTCCCAAGGCTTTCAAGTTTGACACTCATTTTTACAAGCATTTACTTAACTGGACCTGTTAGTGTGTGGGACAAATCTTGGAAATTAATTTTGAACCAGTTCACCTCAACAAATTGAGCTGAAATTTTGTAAACACGATAGAATCTATTAACAGCCGCCATTTTGAATCCAATATGACACATTTATATAGGTAAGTTTTTGTTATTTGGGAGTTCAGTCAAAGCCTACCTTCTCCTTAAGTTTGTCGTGGTACTTATTGGACACCCTATATGAAAATTATATAGAAATTACCAAAATAGTAAACTGATATGATAAATACCAAAACGTAAAACATTAATAAAATAAGAAAAATATGTTTTTAAAACAAGATTATATTTAGTTGTTTCTAAACTATGATGAAGCTTCAAGTTTTCAAAGAAAAGCTTGTTACGTTTTGACAGTTCGATGGAAAAAGGCTGTAACTTGCACACCCTGTATATTTGTAAGGAGACGTTCTAGGGCCCATTCTAGGACCATCTTTCTTGAGAGCTTGCTATATTTTTATGTTCTGTTCTAAAAATATTGTCATAATTCCTCGAGTCGTTACAATTCAATTGAATTGAAGTCATTGTTTCGTGGTGGAATATGGAAGTGGTTTCGAAACAGAACTGGGCAGTAACTAGTTGAATGAGATATCACACATGTAGGCAGTAATAGTCTCATATTAGGTTATGTTTCTTGTTGCATATGCAACGATAATTTTACGCAGCTACTTGAAATTCTTCGAATCCGTAGGCTTATACTTCTAAATAACCACGACAAAATTGGAGTCGATTGGTCGAGTAGTTTTTGAGAATTTCTAATTTTTATTTTCTTTGCGATCACTGGTTACCGAGATACCAGTGGTTGATGACAAAAGGATCCTTTTTAATTCAAAGTCAGATATCTCCGCGCCAAAAGATCGTATCGAGATTCTAAAAACACGATATTGCAGCTGAATCTGATCCATATTATGTCCTAACAGAGCAAAATTTCCTTGCGCTATCTATCAGAATTGCATGAGAACCGTTGCTCCTAAAATTTGCTGGCCAAAAAACCTGAATACTAGAATCTTAAAGCTCTAAAATGCCATTTTTTAAAGTCTAGATGCGACCATTTTTTTTACCGAAATCAAATCAAAGTATGTTTTTTCTCAGTCTTGCAAGTAACGTCATGTTTTCTTAGACGGAACAGTTTTACATTTTTTTTTAAAAATCCCGAGAATTCAAATAGATCATCGTTTTCAAATATTCGCCTATCCACGTTTTCATTTTATTCAGAAACTACCACAACATCGTATAAACAACATCCAACATACAAATAAAAAGTCGACAAGCGATTTTCGAAAACGCTGAGCGTGAGACTAACTGCAAATGACGTCATATTCGCTGAGCGACTTAAAATATACTAAGTGACATATAAATCCGAACACCCAGTTTAAATGGTTTCATTTTAATAAAATTTTGTATAAGTACTTAATGAAGCATAATAAGTAAATGATAAAAATTTCAAAATGATTGCACTGCTTTAAAGCCCTTTGACCTTTAATAATGTGTGGATGCACCCTGATGTGCTACGCATTCTCCAACGCGCCTAGGCATGCTTCTGATCAGGTGGTCAATGTCCTCCTGTGGTATCTCATTCCAAGCAACCACCAACTCCTCTCGAAGTGCTTCTAGAGTCTGAGGAGGACGTTGCAAATTGAGCAATCTCCTACCCATCATATCCCACACGTGCTCAATTGGGGATAAGTCGGGAGATCTTGGTGGCCATCGTAACAATGTGACATCATTATGTTGAAAGAAGTCTATTGTGACTCTTGCAACATGTGGTCGGGCATTATCTTGTTGGAAAGTTGGATCTGCCAGGGTGTCAAGATAGGGTAAAAGATGGGGTTCTAGAACTTCGTGGATATAACGCTGCGCGTTCATGTTACCTCTGATGAAGATTAAAGGTGACCTGGAACCATAAGCTATAGCACCCCAAACCATAACTCCAACAGTGTGATGAACATGTCTTTCAACAAAAAACTGTGGATTCCTCCTTTCACCACGTCGCCTTCTAACAATAGGTCCTCCGTGTTCTGCAAACCATTCATTTGCAATTGACCTGGTAGTGGAGAAACGGTCCCTTAAGGCCAATAATCTTAGACGGCGATCTTCACGGTCTGTTGTTCTACGGCGGCGTCCAGTGCCCCTTGCTCTTTGCGTACGGCCTTCTCGATGCCATGCCTGACAACACCTAACCACAGTGTCTACACTTCTTTGCACTCTAACTGCAATTGCCCGAAAAGAAAGTCCAGCTTCCCGAAGTCCCACTATACGGCCCCTATCAAACTCACTAAGTTGACGAAATCGTACAGGTCTCCGTACTCTAGGCATCGTAACCGATCGTAAAGGATGTCAAGAACCAAAATCCGCCAACGTTGATTCTTTACTGCGGCTGAAATATTCATTTTTAGAGCGTTAGTGAAATAAAAAAAGCAGTATAAAAACCGGAATGTCCAACTGATAAGGCTGAAAATTTTTTCGCTTGTTATTTACAGTAATATAAATACATTCACCAACTTTTATTAAAATAAAACCATTTAAACTGGGTGTTCGGATTTATATGTCACTTAGTATAGCTTGTGTTTCTACGTTCTTGGAATCGCCAGTCATTTTGGTGATGATGAGCATCTTTTGTGAGCGCAAATGTTTAATTTGAGCGGTTGTGGGCTTTTTTGCGTGTCTGCCGGGTCATTTTAACGTTTAACAGGGACTATGAATGTGACGTATCCTATTCTCAACCCTTTACGTTTTTGCATAACAGCTGACAGCTCCTAGAAGGGACTGTATAAAAATGTGAGCAGGTTTTCCCATTAGCAGATAAAAATTATCACAATATGATTCCGTTTAGAGAGCGTAACTCAGTGTGCCGCAGTTGTAAAGTGCTATATTTATCGTCGGAATGCACTCTGGGGTAATCATGTAATATTGGAGGCAGATATCGTAAAAATGTGGATGCATGAGATGGATTCACGCACCACCGAGGGGTTTCGACAGCATTTAAATAGTATCGTAAACACGAATTACAGCTCTATCTGTATTTTCTTGAGAAGCAGTCTCCTGTCAAATCAATATAGTGCAGTCGCTACGCGTCCACCTTCTATCTCGGAGTACGGTACCAGCACTGCGCGAAAAAGGCTAGATGAGTATCGTTTAACCAGCAGCAGTTACTGGAAGGGTATTATAAAAGTTTTGTAATACAGCTTTATTTATTGGCTACGTTCAGTAATTTCCACCACCATTGTTCCGTCCGAAATAATGAGTCAGTCATTGTCATACAGCGTGAGTTTCGTCGCCACTTCAACATTCATCGGAATAGAAACACCATCCTTCGTTGGGTTGAATCACTTCGCAGGCGTGGTGAACTGATCCACAGAAGACCAAGAGGAGCGCCGCGAACAGTTCGAACTCCTGAAAATGTTGAACGCGTTCGACAGGTCTTTCTTCGCAGTCCGACTCGATCTGATTGTTCGGTAAGGCGGATTTTGCATATGGATCTCCGCTTTCACGCCTACAAATTGGCCATTGTGCAACAGTTACAGCCCGGAGATTATGCACAACGAATGAACTTTGCACGTGAGATGGAAGCACTGATCGATCAAAATGAGAACCTCATTTTGTTTATGAGTGACGAAGCCCACATTCACCTAAACAGCATGGCACTTACTTCTTCGAAGACGGTAATGGTCGTGATGTTACCGATTTGTGTGGTTCCAGCAGGGTGGGGGCGACCGCCCACACAGCCCGAGCATCCATGGACGTTATTCGCCCTCCCTTCCCTGGTCGCCATATTTCCAGGTTTGGCGATGTTCATTGGCCTCCTCGGTCCCCAGATTTATCCATATGCGATTTTTTCTTATGGGGACACCTCAAGGCTAGAGTATACGCGAACAAGCCCCGAACTCTGGACGAATTGAAGGGCGAAATTCGCGTGGAAGTCGCCCAAGTTGAGAGAGCGATGTTGGACAGAGTCTACGCGAACTTCCAAGAACGCCTCCATCACTGCATCAACGATTTCGGCCACCACATGACTGATATGATTTTCCACACTTGACTGTCTCAAATGCTATTTCCTTGTGAACCTGATTCCACCAGTAAATTTGTTTTCGAGTAAAAATTAACTATTTTATGATTTTTTTAAAACCGTCCATACTCTCTGCCGCACCCTGTATAATCAGATAATTTCAGATATGCATTTTCCTCGAAACCATTGTCACTACCAGCATGCACAATAATAAATCTTTGTCCTTTTGAAACTGGCCTGTGAAGACCCTCATTGGTATCATCGCTCCAACTTTTTTCATGCGTATGTGATGTATGGATGTACGTTTCGTCCATATAAATTATAGGACGATTTTTTTCTCTATATTCTTCCATCCTTGCTGAATCTCTGGTTTCTCCATAAGAAGTCTTCTATTAGTTCTTGCCTTCCTCCAACGAAATCCCATTGTCCTCTTCACTTTCCTTAAAGTTTCATGTGATCCAGTGTAATTGTGTTCTTGAAAAAACTTCCTGTGTATGCGCCGCAAAGTTGGAACCTTCTTTTCCGTTATGTAAAAATTCATTATAAGTCGACGAAGCAATCCTCTATCAAAGTCGTCGAAATCAGGTTTCGTAGTGGCTCTTCATATTTTCTTGTTTGGCGTCGAAAAAG